TAGGGACACTCGGGTACCCCATGGGGACACCCTGCTGGGGACAATGCCAGCCCCTGGGGTCACCACCCCATAGGGACACCTGGGTACCCTATGGGGACACCCTGTGGGGACAGTGCCAGCCCCTGGGGTTACCACCCCACTGGGGACAATAACGGCCCTTGGGGTCAGACCCTATGGGGCTGCCCAAGGTCATTTCCTATAGGGGCACCCAGGTGCCCCTGTGGGGACAGTGCCAGCCCCTGGGGTCACCACCCCACTGGGGGCAATACCAACCCTTGGGGTCAGACCCTATGGGGATGCCCAAGGTCATATCCTATAGGGACACCTGGGTACCCCATGGGGACAGTGCCAGCCCCTGGGGTCACACTCCATAGGGACACTCGGGTACCCCATGGGGACACCCTGCTGGGGACAATGCCAGCCCCTGGGGTCACCACCCCATGGGGACACTCGGGTGCCCCGTGGGGACAATGCCAGCCCCCAGAGTCACTCCCCATGGGGACTTCCAGGCACCCTAGTGGAGACAGTGCCAGCCCCCATGGGTCACATCCCATCGGGGACACCCAGCTCATATCCCATGGGGACACCAGGTACCCTGTGGGGACAATGCCAGCCCCTGGGGTCACCACCCCACTGGGGGGCAATCCCAACCCTTGGGGTCAGACCCTATGGGGCTGCCCAAGGTCATTTCCTATAGGGGCACCCAGGTGCCCTGTGGGGACAGTGCCAGCCCCTGGGGTCACACTCCATAGGGACACTCGGGTACCCCATGGGGACATCTGGACACCCCAGTGAGGACGATGCCAGTCCCTACAGTCACTCCCCATTGGGATCAACGCCAGCTCTTGGGGTCACACTCCATTGGGGGACACCTGGGTACCCCACTGGGGACGGCGCCAGCCCCCATTGTCACAACCCACGGGGACAATAGCAGCCTTTGGGGTCAGACCCTATGGGGACATACCGGTACCCCACGGAGCCACCCAGGCACCCTGCTGGGGACAGTGCCAGCCCTGGGGCCGCACCCCATGGGGACAGCTGGGTACCCTATGGAGACACCCGGGTGCCCCTTGGGGGACACCTGGACACCCCAGTGGGGTCAATGCCAGCTTTTGGGGTCAGACCCCATGGGGACATCGAGGTACCCCAGTGCCAGCCCCCCAGGTCCAACCCCACGGGGACACTTGGGCTCAGCTGGGGACCCCTTGGGGACAGCGCCAGCCCCCAGGCTCGCTCAGCACTGGGGTCACCTGGGTGCCCTTTCATGGACAGCCAGCTCTTCCTTTGGGGATGCCGGTGTCCCCTCGGTGTCCCCTCACCCTGGGGGTGCCCAGGTCCCCCCCCCACCCCCCCAATGTGCCTTCAGTGCCCCACACGCGGCGCTCCCCCCTCTGTACAAACACCCGCACTGTAAATACCCAAAGCCATGTACATAGCAGCAGGGGGGAGGGGGGGGCAGGACGACGACACAGGGAGGGGGCTCCCATCCTCTCCCACCCCCCCACCGCCCCCCTTTTATTTTTTTTCCTTTTTTTTTGCTCTTTGGGGCTTTTTTTTCTGTATATAAAC